GAGAGAGAGAGAGAGAGAGAGGGACGCGAGAAAGATGGAGAGAAGTTAAGATAAACAAAAGGAAGAATGAGAGAGTCAGAGAGAGAGTCAGAGAGAGAGGCGGAGGGAGAGAGAGTTAAAGGAGAGAGAGAGGCATAAGGAGAGAGAGAGGCATAAGGAGAGAGAGAGGGGGGTAAAGGGAGAGAGAGAGGCATAAGGAGAGAGATAGAGAGGGGTAAAGGGAGAGAGAGAGGCATAAGGAGAGAGAGAGAGGCAAAGAGAGGTGGAGGGAGAGAAAGAGGCAAAGGGAGAGAGCGAGATAGATAAGCAGAGAGAGAGAGAGAGAGAGAGAGAGAGAGAGCGAGCTCTAATATATTTGTATAAAGTGCTGTAATAAAAATGGAGAACTTAGAAGCCAAGGCACGACCTCCTCAAGATCCGCTGGCGAGGTCCCACTCACACACCAGTTTGCCACCACTGTAATTACAGTTGTAAATAATATAATTTATGCCCTTATCAACACAATTTTGGTTTTATGGGGGGTGGGGGTGGACTGCCTTGACCTTGGCAACCAGGGCTAAGTGGCACCGGAAATATGCTCCGAATTTTAATGCTATTGGAAAAAACATATAGGTGACTTGCTAAATGCCAAGGAAATTTGCGCCACTTTATCTGTTGTCATTGAGTATCTTTCGGCGTATTCGATCTAATTGTTGGTGTATGTTCTCAAAGATCGTACATTATGTACGATCTTTGGTATTCATCAGTTCGCAAAGTATCGAAACTTTTAATTTTGTGGAAATAAGGGGGGGGGGGGGGTGTTCATTCGTTTCTTGTTATGGTCTCATTACAATTTATTGATGTAAAGAATCATATAAACGAACCTTGGTACTTGTTACCCTTGCTACACTAGGCAGAAGTCGGATATGATCAGGATATATACCAATAGGCTCTTGAAAATTATTTGATAAAAGTGTTCGATCAAACATGAAGTGGCAACATCTTGTACATGTATGCCATTTTCGCAATGAACTTAGCCTGAAAGAATCCATTGTTCTAGTATAAATCATGAATGAAATATCGTCTTTGTCTCTCACGTTGGAGATATTACCTTTTGGCAGGGCTTTTACGCTCTTGGTTGGAAGATTTGATTTCTTATTATGATTTGATTTTCTGTTGTTCTTTTTCGACTATGTGCGTGAAAGAGTCTGTGAATTCACGATAGGTTTGGTTATGTAGAAGAAAGCCAATGTACAGAGAAATGATAGTGGGTGGTTGC